AAAACCCAAATGATACCCAACCCTACTAAAAACTATGTTAAACGATGCATTGAAAACGATGGCAAAATATAAAACTATCAATTTTAAGATGTTGATTGTATATATAGAAACAATATTTTACAAATCACTTGAAATCTGCATATTCAAATATTTAAGTGTTTTGAGAATCGACTCTGTGTCATTTGCAGTGCTTCAAGGGAGTGGGCGGAGCTCAGTGCTGGTTTGACGCAATTTGCAATTGGTAATGTAGTTTTTCAGCAGGGACTCTGCTGTTAAACACGATTATTTAAAAAATAGGATGAAAATGCGAACTGCTGGCTTTGACAAAATATACCATTGATTAACAACCTCTGCACTTACAGTAGGTCTGTCTATAAAGGCTATCATTATATCATTACCAATATTAGTTATTGTTAAAAATTGATTTCCCTACATTTTTTACTTCTGGAACCTGACTGTTTCACTGTTTAAAACCCACCACATCACTAAACTCTCCTAAGGCCTCTCTCTGTCCTCTATAAGGATGACACATATTCACAGTGGCTGACACTCATAATTGAGTGTTTAATTGGGGTGTTTCTTCAGGGGGCTGGTTTACACGCATTCTGTTCATTTGTAGGTGATGTCACATTTGACCGAGAAAAAAAAAGAAATCCATCAACATGCTTTGGAAGAGAAGTAGTCCACACAATAAGAAATTTGCTGAAAATTGACTCATCCTCCAAGATGCAGATGAGCTTGTTTCTTCATGGGAACAGATTTCCTCTGCAGTGAATGGGTGCCGTCAGAATGAGAGTCCAAACAGCTGATAAAGACATCACAATAATCCACAAGTAGGCCTAAACCATGTGACTCTAGTCCACCAATTAACATCTTGTGAATTGAAAAGCTGTGTGTTTGTAAGAAACAATACCATCATTTTAACTTTAAACCACTGCTTCTGACTAAAATACCAATCCATAATCCAGCAGAAAAAAGTCCATCCCTGTTTTCCTCTCACATCAAAATCAGTCAAATTTGTTTACAACTGTTTTGACTTGTAAAACGGGGCTTGATCTGTGCATAATTCTCTCCTGATTCAGACAAGATGACTTTTCCACTGAAAGCAGCAATATTATGCATTATGGATATTTTAGCCACAAGCACGTGTTTGAAGTGTGATAGATTTGTTTCTTACAAACACACAGCTTTTCTCTTCACAAGACATAACTGATGGACTGGGGTCGTGTGGATTATTGTGATGTTTTTATCAGCTGTTTGGACTCTTATTCTGACGGCACCCATTCACTGCTGAGGATCAAAAGATGTAATAGTAAATTTCTCCAAATCTGGTCAGATGAAAAAACAAACTCATCTCAGATGGGGTGAGTACATTTTCATCAAATTTTCATTTTTAGGTGAAGTATTCCTTTAACAATGCAAAGCTGCTTTAACTTGTCAGTTTTTCCCCTTGATGTTTTGATTCTTTACATTGAACTCGTCAATACTAATAAAAGAAGCTAAGTTGATCAGTCCCTCCAGTTTTCCACAACTCCAGATTCATACCAACTTTAACCAACTAACAAAAGACAAGGTTAAATCACTCACTGCTCTTGACCTAACTAGTAGTTTTAAGAAGAATCCGTATTCCTAATTCATACAGCGAGGACTATCATGCGTTTTGTTTTACATTTGATTATTCAATTTCTTTAGTATTCTGGAACTGAACACTAAAAAAAGTTAAAGCACTATTTATTTTGTATCTTTGTCCTAGGGCTGGGCGGAAAATAAATGTTACTGCAGCCAGTCAGTGCATGTGGCTAATAATTTTGCATGTTCTGCGTGTCTGTGTGTGAATGAGTGGCGTGGTTTCATCGATACACAAACTCAAACACATATGATGCTCACAGCGTTTCAGCATCTGCATCTCAATATGAGGACAGTTCACACAAACGTCATCTCCAGAGCTGCTCGGAGTCGTTTCATTTGAGAAAAAGTACTGTGTAATACAGAAATATTACTATTGTATACTGAAATACACTCCTCAAAGTAATAACAATAAGGAATATCATACAAACAAAATATTTTTCATCCATGTTTTTATACCTTTCTGTTGTGCAGCATCTTAAGACAAAAAATAAAAATGAGATGTTTTGTTGTAAATTGTTATATTTTCATTTGATTTCATTATAAGAGATTGATTAAACTTAAAATTTGTATTAACGATAAATTGATAAATTAGTATTAATCATGAAACAGAATAAAAAAAAACAACTGGGCTAAATAAAATAGAGAAAATAGAATTTAGGAAAAAATTAAATGCATTTCGGGGCTCTAAATTAAAAGGTAACTTACTCCTTGGAGTTATGATTACATGCATTCTCAAGGGCTAACAAACATGCGCAAAGCATTTCCCTCCCATGAATGGTACATGAATATCATGATAAAATATTAATATAGTACAAAATGGAAAAAATAATATTTGTGATAATATTTTTGGCCATATCGCCCAGCCCTATTTATTGTTTATGAATTGCTTATATGTTCTCATTTTTAATAAAAACAAAAGATCAAAAATAACTAATAAAATCGTGTAAAAGTTTTGTTAGAATTTATAAAGACACAAAAATAAACAAGCTTTCTGCATTTTTACTGTCATGTATGACTATTGTACATACAATGTCACACATAATATGGAAAACGTGGTATCAATTATTTAAACAAAGGTTAATTTTCCTCAAAATTCTGGAAATTACTGCTTCAAAACCAGTCAGTTTTGATTGCAAAAAAATCACAAAAGATTGCAAAATCCAGGCAGGACTGCTTAAAACTACCTACACAAAAGAAACAACTTACTGTACTCACCTGGGTTGAGTTTTAAAAGCCATTGTAACATTTCAATTCTCTAATAATAACTCTCTAAAAACCCTTTGACAAAGCACACTGGAAAAGCTGTCAATCACAAAGTTATCTGCAATACAATAAACCCCATTTGCCTACCTCAATACAATTTCACAGTCACAAGCTGAACCTGACCACCAATTCAGCTCGAACATAACGATAAGCGAGCAAATATGGTTAACGACTAAACTCACTGCTGAACACAAAAACAAATCACTTAACACTAGGAAACCTGTCAGTCATTCAACAGCTGTCAATCACACGTCTATGTCAGATAAACACACAACGCGAAGATTTGCTTCGCTCACAAGTTCAGGTGAATAACTAACAACGTTTACTGAATGCACTTAATATACTGAACGTCTAAACCGGTCCATAAGTAGATATATCTGATATTTCTGCTGCAAAATCGGAGGATTTACTCAAGAGTAAATCTGAGCGCAAACCGAAAGCGCTGCGAGGCTAATAACACTGCTGAGACCAAGAGCTCCAAACTGATGCCGTTTTCACAAAACACACTTTAAATGTAAGGAATAGTAACTTTAATAAATGCGGAAAGATACAACTCAAACATGACTAAAGTACCGCCTCACGCACATTTTTTAATAAAAATGTAAAGGTTGTGTGTTTCTCCGTTACACGGAGGAGCAACACAAAATGGCGACTGCGGGCAGCTCATATGAGTCCTTGTGCTCAAAGTCGCTAAAACACCGAGGGCCACACCATTACAGTCCCATTAAACGAGTTCATGTTCATTCAAAACATTTGTTAAGGAAATGTAATGCGGTTGAGACACCGTAACAGGCATTAAAAGCGGGAGAGTGAGCTGCACGTTTCAATGCTAACGGTGTATGACACGGACTCGTCCGGCGTCGTGTGGAAACCTGTCAGTCATTCAACAGCTGTCAATCACACGTCTATGTCAGATAAACACACAACGCGAAGATTTGCTTCGCTCACAAGTTCAGGTGAATAACTAACAACGTTTACTGAATGCACTTAATATACTGAACGTCTAAACCGGTCCATAAGTAGATATATCTGATATTTCTGCTGCAAAATCGGAGGATTTACTCAAGAGTAAATCTGAGCGCAAACCGAAAGCGCTGCGAGGCTAATAACACTGCTGAGACCAAGAGCTCCAAACTGATGCCGTTTTCACAAAACACACTTTAAATGTAAGGAATAGTAACTTTAATAAATGCGGAAAGATACAACTCAAACATGACTAAAGTACCGCCTTACGCACATTTTTTAATAAAAATGTAAAGGTTGTGTGTTTCTCCGTTACACGGAGGAGCAACACAAAATGGCGACTGCGGGCAGCTCGTATGAGTCCTTGTGCTCAAAGTCGCTAAAACACCGAGGGCCACACCATTACAGTCCCATTAAACGAGTTCATGTTCATTCAAAACATTTGTTAAGGAAATGTAATGCGGTTGAGACACCGTAACAGGCATTAAAAGCGGGAGAGTGAGCTGCACGTTTCAATGCTAACGGTGTATGACACGGACTCGTCCGGCGTCGTGTACGCATCAGTGTGTATGCGTGCAATCAAAACAACACTCTCACCCCAAAGCGTTAAACAAGCGCGGCCCGCGATTAATACACATCTGTCAATGTCAGACGCTTGAAACGAGCGCGGATCACATGAACCCGACTAATCTGACCGTGCGTAACGTGTACGTGCATTCTCGTTCAATTTTACGTCAAATGCTCCAGCATTCCCGCACAGCGAAACGTGAGATTTTCGCGCTGCGCAGAGCAGGGATGCGATTCTGTGCTAGCACTGGCCAGCAAACGGCCTAATGCTAATAAACAACCTCAGAGCCCTACGTTACCCGCTCTCTTTAATGTACAAGGGGTAATTCGTCGCTAAAACGCAAAAGCAACCAGCCCAAGAACGAAATAACATCCAAACTGACCCGTTATCATGAATGGGGTTGTCTCTCCTAGCTGCTAGCGTTAGCACTCAGCGACACACAGGCCGCTTTCACCAGACAATCATTTCAGCGCTGATTAAAGCGCTTGACCGTTGCACAAAACGACGCCACACATGCTGGTACCTTTAAAAAGATCTAAACGCTTTGCACAAGCGTAAAGGCTGCTTGTTTATTTACCTCCGTTATTTTGTTGTGAGGGCGCGCAGGCTCTTTCTCTCTCCCACAATCCAGAACAAACAGCTCGAGACGTCGGTGACGTCATGCGCACGGAGGACGCACAGGACGTGAGGACCTGCTGTCACACGTGTGAAAGATCACTTAAAACCGCTCAGCGCTGATCTCTTCCGTTTGCTGTGTGATGATCGGTGTTAGCAGCGCAATAAAAGCACGTGATGAAATAGTACGATTTAAATAAAGAACATATATGCGCCGAAAAAATCTTTATATTTTCTTATTTTCATGAATAAAATCTATCTATCTATCTATCTATCTATCTATCTATCTATCTATCTATCAACAAGACTCGATCCCCCATAAAGACATTTAACAAGAGATCATAAAAAGCATTTTTGTGAAGCATTACTTGTAAATATGAAGATTAATTTCTACAGCTCTGACTGATTTTAAATTGTACTTTTGGCCGCTCCTGAAATGGGTCATACCATTAATACTGTTTTTACGGTTTACTGTTTTTAGGTCTTAGGTCTGTTAGGCATGGTATTGTAGGGTTAAACATTTTTTTTAAATAACACCCATGATTTTTATAATTACCAAAAGCGGGGGTTAGTCTCAAAATAATACATTTTACTATATAATTAAATACATTGTGTCATTATTACACCATGTGGAAAGATTTGAGAAAGATGCTAGACTTAGAATGTTTGTCATTTTAAAGCAGCACTATGTAACTTTTTCTGTGTTCAAAATTTGCAAAATGTATATAATGAGCGAGTACATCATGAATTCATCTTCCAAACCGCGTTTTTGTCTTATTCCGAATCACTACGGTACACTTATAATAAGTACTTATATTTGGACTATTGTAGCCTGGTCGGGTCGCCACCGCTGCGGAGTAACACATACCTGCGTGAATCGTCATAGACGTAAACTTAGAGAAGTAGCTCCGGTTGGAATGTTCTTCCGCGGTATGTGTGCAGTTCTGTTTATTAACCGCTAGAGCGCCAAAAGTTACATAGTGCTGCTGCTTTAAAGTCAAATTTTGCGGAGAAGTAGGCTATGTGGCCTATATTTGATATGTGCAATCTGGTCAACCACTTTCGACATGAAAAATTTATATAATTTAGTTTTTTTAAACTAAAATAAATAAATAAATTAGGAATATAAATATATATGTATTCAAGTATAAGAAAAAAAGGCTTGTATTTAAGCCAGTCTCCTAGACCATTTATTTGTGGTGCAAAAATAGCTCGGTGACAGTTGTTTCGACACAGTCATGGGGTTTATTTTGAAAGGTGAACTTCTCCGAAGACATTTGCTACACAGAGCCGGTGCCTCTCTGATTATTAAAATTACAGTAATGGGCAATACTTTGATGCACCTACTTTTATTACCAACACGACTAAGTTTATTAATTCTCTATTTAGTATATTACATTCTTGTGTACGCCACAGCTGGAATCACTGCTTGTTAGGATTTCATCCGAATTGCCTGGACTGAATTTAGGGATCCATATGGAACTTTTCAATGCACCGTCCGAAAGAAACCCCCAGACTGTCTGAAAGACCCTGCACTTGGTGACCATGCGTATCTGAAGGGCAGGGTGAGAAGATTTATAATGAAGAATGTAAACAGTTATGTAGGCCTATCTGATGACTTTAAAAGCATTTAAGAAAGTAATATGTACAAGGTCATTAGATACTCTGTCGAAGATGTAAATAAAACGATTATTGGAGTAAGAAAAATACAATTTCAGTCTTTCGACTTCAAAATTTCACTTTAATTCAATGTGTTACTTCCCGTTTCTTTGTAATTATCTATGAAATTTATTAGGAATTTCTTTGTGAAATATGTTTTAAAGTAAGTCATAATTTTTTTCAGTGTGATGTGTTCGTTTTTTAGTTAGAAGGGTGAATGAAAGGCTAAATAATGATCGTCCATATCTTGTGCTCTTGCGCCACCTGTGTTAAGACATAGAACACGGTGTTCCTCAATCTATTCCACATTCTATTGTCTTTGATGAAATCACACTGAGTGTTACATGGAATTTATATATTTCCAATCTTTCTCAAATTTGATATTCATTTAATTTAAAATTGGTAGAATAGGAATTGAAGAGTGGCGAGGTATTCACAAGTTTTATTTATTTAGTCGGTCAGTACCTCCAATGATTTGACTTCGTTTTGTGACATCTTTTTCTTGGTCTTTTTTACCCTTCAGAGCTCAGGCTTGAGGTTTCATTATGTAACCTAAGGAGACCACAGAAAGCCTCTAATGCTGTTTCTTCATGGTTTCCCCGAAAACTGATTACTTCCTTGTATTGTATCCTGTATTGTAGATCTGATGCAGTAAGTTTTGTAAAGCGTTCTGCATATTGTTTTGTGAACGCATTCAGACATTTCAGTAATATTGTTACTGATTATTCTTTTATTATATTATATCAGAATGTTGTTGCAATTTGGATATATTATATTATATTGTTTTATATTTATATAAAATATAATTTTATATTACAAAATATATGACCTGCAGGTACTCCTGGCGTTACCAATTACAGGAATTCAGTAGTCATTACCACACGGTGGCGCTAGATCTGCGTGGCTGTGGAGATTCTGACGCGCCCGTCCGGCTGGAGGAATATTCACTGGAGACACTCTTATATGACATCAGAGGCACCATCGATTAACTGGGTACTTTTGACTATATCACAAATGTATAGCGGCCCCTGACCATAAATTTAGGTTGGGCAGATTCTGGGTCGTACCGGAGGTTATATGTTTAACCAATGATTAACTGCTAATAGCAGTTCTACATTCAGTTCAACACATGCAGAACACTCTTGGCAGAGGTCTAGTGTCCTTGCATAATTCAGCTCGAGTGTGGCACTCTAATATTGATTATCATCTTCTACGTACATACATAGAATTCATACATAGAATTATCGGTCCCACTTTATATTAAGTGGCCTTAACTACTATGTACTTACATAAAAAAAAGTACAATGTACTTATTGTGTTCATATTGTATTGCAAAGCATGCAAAACACTCTTGCTGCTATTGAGGTGTGATACGGGTAAGGTTAGGGACAGGTTTGGTGGTATGGGTAGGTTTAAGGGTGGGTTAAGGTGTAAGGGATGGGTCAACAGTAATTATAAATGTAATTACATGCAGGTATTTTTAAAATATAAGTACAATGTAAAAACATGTATGCACACAATAAGTGCATTGTACCAAATTATTAATTTAAATGTAAGTACGTTAAGGCCACTTAATATAAAGTGGGACCGAATTATCTTAGAATCTTAGAATAAATGGATAGTTCAGGCAAAAATGAATATTCTGTCATCATTTGCTCACTCTCAAGTTGTTCCAAACCGGTATGAGTTTATTTCTTCTGTTAAGCACAAAAGATGATATTATGAAGAATGTTGGTAACCAAACAGTTGACGGTAGCCGTTGACTTCCATAGTATGGAAAAAAATACTACAAAGTCACATCGATTCTCAGAATTAACCAGGTAATCATGAGCACTTGGTTATTTACTAAACAGACACAAAGAAACTATTTACAGGCTATTTATTTATTTATTATTATTATCTTTTATTAGTTGTTCTTTTGCAATTGTTTCCCTTTCAGGTGGGACACTGCCCCTCCTGTCCATACAGACGGGCCACAGCTGAATGTGAACCAGTTTTGCCTTAATCAAGTCAATAAACCACTGGAATGATATGTGTTTAATTACAGGTCACACAAGTTGTATATTGATGGACCATGACTGGGGTGGGATGCTGGCATGGCATTTTGCACTGGACAGACCAGACATGGTGCAACTTCTCATTGTCATGCACGCTCCTCATCCTGCCTCATGGCTGGGTAAGTGTATACTGAGAATTTCCAGACAGGGCATCATTTCATTTCTGTTTTTCAACACAACTCTGATTCTGAACTGAAACGTATGTGGGTACAAACAATTGATAGTCATTTCTATCCCAGACGCAGTTCTGAGAAGACCCTCTCAGCTGTTGTGCTCAGGACATGCGTGTTTCTTCCGGTTACCGATGCTGCCCGAAATAGTTTTGTTTCTTGAAGATTTTAAGGTAGCATAAGCACTTTTAACCATTAACTCTTTAAGCCCCCCAATGTTTGACACTGTGGCTAGCAGTTTATGGTAATCTGTTTTGACACTGATATTACTGTAACAAGAAACACTAAAGATAATCTCTGCTGTAGTTAACTTCCTGTCCTTTGCGTTTGAGTCTAAGGGTGACAGTTTAGAAGTGGTGACAGCTGATTCTCTGCAACTCGTATTTCTCATGTGCATATAGTTGGTTCGAAGTCTATTTTGTGGCAGGAATTTGGGCATCAGGAACAAATCCAGACGACTGACTGAGACCCAGCTGGAGGGGTACCTATACCGGCTGTCCCAGCCCGGGGGGCTCATAGCCCCTCTGAACTACTTCCGTTCTCTTCTCAGGTTTAAAATTAATCACACTTTAATTTCTATGTCATTGGTGGTATATTGCTTTAAGTGGTTATTATGCACTTCTCTTTCTACAGTAACACTCTGTACAAGCATCAGGATGTCAGTGTGCCCTGCATGTTAATTTGGGGTGAGGCAGACAATATACTGGTTGAGGGCATGTCTGGTGGTACACGGCCTTATGTAAGGGGTCCGGTTGTCATTCACACTATTCCCGAATGTAGCCACTGGGTTCAGCAAGATCAACCTGAGAAAGTCAACAAACTCATATGGGACTTTGTTCTGGATAAAGACATAATAAAACACAATCAATGATTGCCTTTGATGCAATGAAGAAATTATTTTGAGTTATTAGCTCTAGCAAGGTTTCTGGTTTTCACTGACAAAATAACTACTTTCATTTATTCTGGTTTGTCTTAAATGAAGTAAAATAAATTTAAAAAACTCCTTGTTTGGTTTGAGATCTGTTCAGTAAACTGTCTCACATGGGCGAGGGAGAAAATGTATGTTGTATGAATCATTATGTTAGGAAATATTTATAGGTATATGCAAAGTTTTCTTCCAAATGTTAAATTATAAGTTCAACTTTTACATATTTCTTCCATGTATTAGATATTAATGCCTTTTATGAGATCTTCAGTTTAAGTCTTTCCTGTGTGCTGTTTAACTAAACATCCAACATAATTACCCAGAAGTGTAGCCTGCCATGTTTTACAGTCTGTACTAAATTGTACAACCACATCAAAATGTCTAATGTGTTTATTCCATTTCTTTTTTTTCTGGCTCAGTGTTCCTGTGATTATTGGGTGCATGTTAAATGCTCATTGTGTTGAATTATCCCAACATTAGTGACATCAATAAACAAATTCTCCTTGAGAAAATCCCTGATTCTTGAGGAGGCTGCATACTGAACACAATGATTATAATATAATATAATATAATAATATGTCACAATTAAAAATAGTAACCTTTGTTACAAAAAGCAGTTAACGTTCTCCTGAGACCCTTTTTGTCAGTCATTGCCAACATCCATTTCTAATTGTAGCTCAGATTTAATTTGAGTAGTCTGTTTTTCGCATAAAATATGGTTTTGTTAGACTGAATATATGCATGGGTCATACTGACTATTGTGATACTTTTGTAATATTTTTATGGTATGTTTATGATACTTTAATGGTTATATGATGATTTCAGAGCCAGACAGTCTAAACATCCATTGTATTTGTATGCAACAAAGCAGGACATTCTGCTAAATTTATCTGCCATGTACAAATAAATCTAAATGAAAATAAATTTTGTGGTGAACTCTTTAATAAGCCCTAGTCACAAAAACATTTTTTAAATTAACTTCTTTGCTGCTTTAGTTATGTGTTCACCTCATATGGCAAGCTAATACATTTATTATAACTATAATAATTTTCTCCAATAGTGATGACAAGAAGCATATCTATTAAATTAGTCACTATCCAAATAGTAACAAGTAACATTTAATTTTTTACATTTTTGCTATTGAATTCCACGAGGGTCGGTGGTTAAGATATCAACTTTTCACTTTTGACTGTGTATTCCAATTGCCGTCGGTATTTAATCCAATTTTTACTTCCAACTTTTCATTAGGAGACACTATCTTTCCCAGTTGTTACTAGTAACATTTCTTACCTGTGTTAAAGGTGCAATAGGTGATTGTCTTCAGAAACATTTTTTGTTATGCTGGTTGAAAGTCTCTTAAAATTATGTTTAAAAAAAAGTGAAGTGGTCTAAATGTATTTATCTGTATTTATATATTCTGTGGAAGGCGTAGGACCAAGAAATGTTCGTCCAATCAAAACGCTCGGTCCGAGCATTTTAATTGGCTTTCCTACCTGCCTGTCAACGTATGTATTTGCATACCTCTGCGCACCCGGTTTGCGCAGACAGGATACGTCATCAGCGCGTTCACGCACGCTGTGCAGACAGAGCGAGAATGGCAGACAAACATCAACAACCCGATCTTCCTTCCTGGTATTGTAGTACTTTTACTAACTGTACTATAAAGTTTTCCCACCGGTGAATGACACATGATGTAGCCCAGCGTTTCCCTGCTCCCTGCTCCCTGAGCAGGGGAAATCCGTTGAAGTTTACTTCACTTCGGAACATTCATTCACGGATTTGCGCTGCGCAGTGTCTTCACACACAGACAAAACTTACAAGAGAAGTGTGAAGTGTGACATAATATAGCTCTGTAAATAAACGCGAGGACTGAAATTGGGAACCGCTGATGTAGCCCATTGTAGTAATGTTGTCTCTGGTATTCTGGTCTGTCAGCGCATATGCGTTCAGTGGGAGTGGCTTTGGACGGTGATTGCAGGGAGGGTGGGATGTTTGCTTTCAGTGCTATCAGGCTAAAGTTAGCGTTTTCCAAGATCTCCTACTGCACCTTTAATTATATGCAATGAAAAATCAGAATGTCTATTTATAATTCCCTTAAAAGGTTAGTATTGTATAGTAACAAGTATTGTATATTCTTTTATTTAAAAAAAACTTAAATAGCACTGATTTTCTAATAGTTACGAATAATTACTGTCTATTGAAACGGACATGAAATCTAGTGGTTGTCACATGGTTTAAGGAATAAATATGAAAACAGCTTGCCATACACTGCAGCAGATTCTGGGAAATGAATTGAAATATTTGCTTTTTAAATGTCACCAAAGGTTTTGAACAATAGTCTCGCGTTCATTGGATCCTCAGGCGGTGATTTCATCAAATCAGGTTTCAGAGAGGCGCACAAGCAAGGGCATCTCGAAGATTTCTTCACGAGCTCCGCCAAACCCAGACAAGCGTTTCCGGCGAGCGCCAAAACATCGACACACGGCCAACTCTGAGCTGCTGTTATGTGTGTTTGCTCAGAAGCTCTGGCAACGGTAAGTGTTTTTTTTCTTCCTAGTGTCATTTTAGAAAAGTAACTGTTGTTGGTTTTGTGCTGACAACCGAGCCAAACTGTACAGTGTAACTTACCTCTGCAGGGACGAATAAAGTCGGTGTGTGTTTCTGAGTAGATTTGTTGCGTCCAGTTCTCATTGAATATAAGAAGTAACAGTAACCACAACTAATTTCATTTCTCGTTCTGTTTTTCACTTTTACTCTACAAACTCACGTGTTTAAGCAATAAACTATGCAGTTAGAATAGTAACGGGAGGCTAAACTTCATTACTTCGTTTGCGGTTAATTTGCGTTGAAATCAAATCTAGCGTAACGTGTCTAATAAAGACTAATTGGTATCATATCCTCTACTTTCTTGTTAAAGATGAACCTATTAACTTGTTGGACTTATAAGGACGTAATGTTGTTGTCCTCGCGTCTTCCTGTGTTTTAGGGTTGGAAAACAATAAAAGACACTCCTTGTAAGCAGCAACACTGGCACATTTTTGATATGTAAAAGCATTATTTCAAATGGCAGCTGATCACATCAGGATTACAGCATCAGGAAAAAATGGCCAAACTGGCAACAACTGAACAGCTCAACTGATTTACATGAACTACTTCTCTAATAATGTTATTTAATTCAACCTGTGAGGCTTTTAACAATGCAGTGTCCTTCTTCTACAACAAGACTGGCAAGCCCATCAGCTCGAGCTGGCGCCCTCATGACTTTATCGTGGTTGGTCTTGGGCTCCCAATTTGTGTCTTTATTATTCTGGCAAATATATTGGTCATAGTGGCCATAATCATCAACCGACAGTTCCACTATCCCATTTATTACTTACTTGGGAACATGGCGGCCGCGGACCTCTTCGCCGGCATCTCGTATCTCTACCTTGTGTTCCACACGGGGCCGTGGACCATCGGTTTGACCATCAACGAGTGGTTTATTCGTGGAGCTTTGATCAACATGAGCCTGACCGCATCTGTAGTCAACCTGCTGGCGGTGGCAGTGGAACGCCATCAGACCATCTTCACCATGCAGCTCCACAGCACCATGACCAGGCGGCGTGTGGTGATGCTGATACTCACCATCTGGTTGGTGGCCGTCTTCATGGGTTTGGTGCCCATCATGGGCTGGAACTGTGTTTGTGACCTGTCCACCTGCTGCACGGTAGCGCCGCTGTATTCCCGCAGCTTCCTAGTGTTCTGGGCCATCCTCAACCTCATGGCCTTCTTCATCATGGTGGCCGTCTACACGCACATCTTCATCTACGTTCGCCGCCGGAGCCGAGAAATGTCCCCGCACACGGATCAGCCCTCCAACAATCAGACTGTTATCAGCCTCATGAAGACCATGTCCATGATTCTGGGTAAGGCCTTCAGACTTCAGGCATTTTTGAGATTACTCACTGTGTGTGCTGACTGAGCGAAAGTTTAATTTTCTGTTTTGGAAACTTATTTGAAAATGTCTTCTTTATCTCTAATTGTGTAGTGAAGTACTGTTAACTTGTTTTTGGGAAAAACAAAACAAGTCTGTCAACCCCAAAACAAGTTAACCAAACCAGTTTGGCTCAGATTTGCTCATCTAGCACCTGCTTATTTTGTACCTCAAGCTGGAATCAGTTATTTTACTTGCCTTAAGATTTTAGGATACAGAACATTATTTTGGTGGATTGAACTCCAGTGGTGTGGAAAGAAATGCATCAACTGAGCACGTGGTGCTATTGTTAGTAAATGTGCATGAAATCACATGCAAATTATACATTATAATTACACAAAAAATATAGAAGATATAGAAATGTATTGAGTGTCTTGAGATGAGAGCCCACATGACACAATTTACATTAAAAGAATGTTGCAACCAACAAAAAATAATGCACAAACTTCAGGAATGGCCAATCATAATGTTATCACGACAAGGAAAAGTTCAGTCCAGGTTGTAAAACATCATGTGGTGAATATGTATCAGTTAATGATTCATATATATAAAAAAAAAAATCTATAATCACTATTATAAATTATTTGTATACGTAAAATATTTGTAAAAATATATTTTTTAAGATGTGTACAATCACGTGTAGTAAAAAGTGTAAGGGAAATAATTCATTACTTGGGTAAAACTTTACAATAAGGGTTCATTTGTTAATATCAGTTGATGCGTTAGGTATATAATAAACTAACAATCAACTTTTACAGCATTTATTAATCTTGGTTAATCTTCATTTCTACCATTTAAAAAAAAAAAAAAACAGTTTGTTTAATAAAATAACATTAGTTAATGTATAATGAACAAACATGAATTACTATTGAACAATAATATACACTACCACTGGGGGTCGGTAAGATTTGTAATGTTTGAAAGTCTCTTTTGCTCACCAAGGCTGCATTTATTTGATCAAAAATACAGTAAAAACAATACTATTGTGAAATATTATTACAGTTGAAAATAACTGTTCTCTATTGTAATGCGTTTTAAAATGTAATTTATTCCTGTGATCAAAGCTGAAGTTTCAGCATCATTACTCCAGTCTTCAGTGTCACATGATCCTTTAGAAATCATTCTAATATTCTGATGTGCTGCTCACGAAACATTTCTTACTATTACCAATGTTGGAAACAGTTATGCTGCTCAATACTTTTGTGGAAAACAAGATACATTTTTTCAGGATTATTTGATGAATAGAAAGCTCAAAAGAACAATTGATTTGAAATAGAAATCTTTTGCAAGAAGTCTTTACTGTCACTTTTGATCAAATTAATGCATTCTTTTTACATGACATTTTTTTTAATAGTTAAATGGCAACTGTTGAAAGCACTACATTTTGCGCACAGTTGTGTGTGTTTGTTGTGTAAATCTCACCTTGTTTGTTGTATAATTTCATTATCCCATGTTCACAGATTCGTTCAGCGTTTAGGCCTACTGTATAAAACGTTTTGCAAGACGATGCATTTGTTTTGCATGCTGTGGTATAAACCAAACTGTACCCGGACCTGCACTCAACTCTTTCTCTACAGGTACCTTTGTGATCTGTTGGACGCCAGGTTTGGTGATTCTGTTACTGGACGGTCTCAGTTGCGGTGCATGTCAGGTTCTTAAATATGAAAAGTACTGCCTGGTTCTGGCCGAGTGTAACTCTCTGGTGAACCCCATCATCTACTCGTTTCGGGACAAGGACATGAGGACCACCTACAAGCGCATTCTCTGCTTCCCTTGGAGAAGAATGCGCCAGCATGAGGGGCCTTCTGGCATCCGCTTTGAGCCTGTGAAAACAGAGGCACCCTCAGAGAAAAACAGCAATAACTCCACCAGTTTAGAGCCCGTTTTGCCACAAAGCCTATTGTCTTTATAGAAAAAGTATTTCTCAGTGTAAATAAGTGACTTTGTATTTGCTTAGTGAAATGATCACAGCTTGTACAAAGAGTAAATAATACTTCATTTTTGATAGCTTGTTTTGGTACATGTTTTTCTCTTTTTGACAATAGATATATTAGGGGTCTTTTGTGTCATTGAGTTACGAGGCACAGGCAGTTTGGCTGCTCACAGGGAGTTTTTCTTTTCCCAAAGTAAAAGCATTCATATTCATAAAACGGCCCTTTTTGGACCATTTTGTTTTGTTGGGAATGAGATCAGAAACCGAAATATACCAGATCTAAAACAGACAACTTTTGTGCTCTATATTTTTTTTTACTAACAAATCAGACTTGCAGATTTTCATTTTAAAGTGCCCATATTGTGCTCATTCACAAGTACAAGTTTTATTTTTAGGTAGTTTTATTGTAGGGGTCTACTTGAATACATGTACATGACATTTTTTTTTCCATACTGTACATTGCTGCAGCAACTGTTCCTGTGTATTTAAAGCCCACTTTTTTTTTGAAGCACCAAGTCTGCTTTGATTGGTCAACTGCCTAAAGCATGTCGGAAATGTAATGCCCCTTGCCATAATCAGGTTTCAGCTCCTGAGGCTTCATGAGCAGCTGTAAACGGCATTATATGTATGGTAACTATGCCGTGGTTGTTAGAAGTCCATGCAATGTTTTTTGCCCTCGTGGTGAAAAAAACAAACAAAAAAAACTGCGTCTCCTCGACATGAAATCACTTACACAACTGTTCTTTGAGGGCGGGCCAAAGCAGCCAGTAGGCGGACGTTATGCAAATCTCCAACACGGTGATGTAGCCACAGAAGTAATGGTAGAACTACAAATGAGGAGTTTCAGGCACGTGTTTTCTGCTGGAGTGAACTCGCTTTGGCGTAGAGTTTGTACGTTGTAACTGCAGCTCGTTTACATGTATTACACACTAAAAGCAATCAAAAAAAGCATAATACAGGGTCTCTGTGGGTCTTAAATCAGAGCAGAATTAATGGCACTTAATGTTGCATGCATTGCAAAAAATTAATATCTTCCTATGTATATTTATTTTCCAATAGAAAAATCTAAACATAGCATTTGAGATGCAACTGTATATTACTGAACAATTTGCACACAATTGAATTTATGCTTCTAGCACAAACAAGCATCTGTCAATGGGGTATGACAGCTTGTTTTGCCTTTGAATTAAGTAGATTTTTCTGAGCCCACTGGCAGATATTTGTTATTGTTTTAATTATAAACTCACTTCTTACGTCATTTGGTTTCTCAAATATCTTGTTTTAAGATCGTTAGACATTTGCACTGAAAAACAAGACAGAAATACTGAGGAAGAACATCACTTTCGCGATGTGATCAGAAGTTATTTCCATATTCTAGTGGTTGGGAGCAGACATAGTCAAACCATAAGCCTTTTTTTCCTCATAAAATTAATTAAAAAGTAATAGAGATTGGTTGGAAGTTGTATTTGTAAACCGACGTATTGCTAATACAACTAATTATTTTTTTTCCCTAGACATTCACATTTAAGAACATATTGACATACCATTCCCTTAAAGGGATAGTTCACCCAAAAATGAAAATTCTGTCATTAATTACTCACCCTCATGTCGTTCTAAACCCGTAAGACCTCCGTTCATCTTCGGAACACAGATTAAGATATTTTTGATTTCCATGCAATGTTTTTTGCCCTCGTGGTGAAAAAAACAAACAAAAAAAACTGCGTCTCCTCGACATGAAATCACTTACACAACTGTTCTTTGAGGGCGGGCCAAAGCAGCCAGTAGGCGGACGTTATGCAAATCTCCAACACGGTGATGTAGCCACAGAAGTAATGGTAGAACTACAAATGAGGAGTTTCAGGCACGTGTTTTCTGCTGGAGTGAACTCGCTTTGGCGTAGAGTTTGTACGTTGTAACTGCAGCTCGTTTACATGTATTACACACTAAAAGCAATCAAAAAAAGCATAATACAGGGTCTCTGTGGGTCTTAAATCAGAGCAGAATTAATGGCACTTAATGTTGCATGCATTGCAAAAAATTAATATCTTCCTATGTATATTTATTTTCCAATAGAAAAATCTAAACATAGCATTTGAGATGCAACTGTATATTACTGAACAATTTGCACACAATTGAATTTATGCTTCTAGCACAAACAAGCATCTGTCAATGGGGTATGACAGCTTGTTTTGCCTTTGAATTAAGTAGATTTTTCTGAGCCCACTGGCAGATATTTGTTATTGTTTTAATTATAAACTCACTTCTTACGTCATTTGGTTTCTCAAATATCTTGTTTTAAGATCGTTAGACATTTGCACTGAAAAACAAGACAGAAATACTGAGGAAGAACAACACTTTCGCGATGTGATCAGAAGTTATTTCCATATTCTAGTGGTTGGGAGCAGACATAGTCAAACCATAAGCCTTTTTTTCCTCATAAAATTAATTAAAAAGTAATAGAGATTGGTTGGAAGTTGTATTTGTAAACCGACGTATTGCTAATACAACTAATTATTTTTTTTCCCTAGACATTCACATTTAAGAACATATTGACATACCATTCCCTTAAAGGGATAGTTCACCCAAAAATGAAAATTCTGTCATTAATTACTCACCCTCATGTCGTTCTAAACCCGTAAGACCTCCGTTCATCTTCGGAACACAGATTAAGATATTTTTGATTAATTCTGACAGCTCTCTGACCCTCCCATAGACAGCAATGTAATTACCACGATCAAGGTCCAGAAACGTAGCAAAGAGATCGGTGAAATAATCCATGTGACATCAGGGGTTCAACCATAATTTTACGAAGCTACCAGAATACTTTTTGTACGCAAAGAAAACAAAAATAACAACTTTATTCAACAATTCATCTCCTCCGCATCACCCTGGTACCATTTTGGAGAATATCCACTGAATGTAAACCGCGTATGTTGTTCTGTGTCAGCTGCGCCACGCGGATACGTTTTCTACGTTGTTTGTGCTTTGATTTGAACAAAAACAACGTATCCGTGTGGTGCGGCTGACACAGAAAAACATACGAATGACAGAATTTTCATTTTTGGGTGAACTATCCCTTTAAATTTACCCTCATAAAACCCTAATAATAAGACATTGGCATTGAAATCCTATAAACTTAAACAGAAAAAGGAGCTTTGCCTTTTACTGAGACCAGAGCAACACAGACTTGGACCACTGTGTAAAAACCAAGCAACATACTAACAGCAACCCTAGCAACCACACAGGGACACCCTGACATCATGGTGGTGATCTGTTTTGTTGATAAAATGTAATTGATAATGATATTCGATTCTTATGATCATGAATTATTGACTTTTCTTCAGAAATATTTTGATAAAGAAAGCCTCACCTGATTCCTGATGTCTGGTTTTGCCATGTTTCTAATCTGTGCAGACTGTGGGCTGTTTCATTTCACCCACATAATCAATTTGCGATGAGGAGAAAAGGTCTGATTTATTGTGATCCTCATATTATTGTCCTTATGCCGCATAAATATTCTGGCAGGGCGAGACAATCGGCTAGCGCGCTGAAAAATGGCAGACTCATTCATAACTGCCTTAACAAGATCATTTTACGGATTGTAACATGCAAATAGCCCCTTAATGAACAGCAACAAGAAAAGAAAAAAAGCTACAGGCTCAAAAGCACACTAGATTATTTTATTAGTTTTTGTTTTTCTAATAAGGAACACTACAATTTTCTCATATTTTTCTTTTTTTCCTCTCTCACTAGAACAGTTCTAAAGTTGAGGTATAAAAGGAGTTTATACAGACTACCAAGTCTGAAAATGGTGGGGTTTATATACAAGTGAAATGGAGAGAGGAGAGGTAGAGAGGAGGGAGAGAATGGTAAATACAGAAGGAAGCGTGTACTACAATTCTAGTAAAATAATGATAAAAATCGAGAAAAAATGCTGATGTCATTTGATGCGGTGCTGTGGAATCCACCTCCGATCATAACCCCAAGTTTCCAAACAGATTCTATGGATGCACTTTTGGGGAAAAAGACATTTAGGAACTCCAAATCTACCTATGATATGTAGTGTTCAAAATCCTTATTCTGCTACATAGCTTATGCATTTACTCCAAATTTATTCCTATTTTTCTTCTTGTCAGTTAGTAGTGGGATTTTCACAGCACCTCAAACAAATGCTACCAGCTTTGACAAAACCACACACAACAAAAATAACACTCGAGACTCCCGATCCAAATCAAATGTAAGTGAAACGCTAAAATTAATATTACAAAGACTAACAAATATTACTCTTGCTCATGAGCGAATCCAAAGCCGCCAGCGATTAAAAAAACATCAAAAATAAAAGCATACAAAAAGAGAAAATACACTGAAACATTCCACAATCTGTACAGTGACATCCATAGATGACTGATAGAAAAAAAGAAGAAAAAAAAAAAGAAATTTGGTGTAGTAATAGCATTAGTTGGAGATATCCATATGAAATGTTTATAACTAACAGTAATCTATAGAGGACACAATAATAACTGGGAAAGCTCCTCAGAGTTTGTTTTTCCATGTGTACATATAAACAAAACCCCAATTTACATTTCAATGTTATTTAGTCCTTTGTGTAATATATAGAATTTCCATTCATATATCAAAACGCCCTGGTGCTTCCGCGACTAAAGGTAAACTTGGGGAAAAAAATAGAGGGGGGAAACCCCCCCGCAAATCATAAAAACAAGTTCCGGGAATACAAACAACTTGTCTGGAAAAAGTAAATATAAATTCATCTGATGTTCCTCTACTAGCTTTAGTCCATCTGTTTCAAATCACAACACATCCAGTGCTTATTTTTGGTTAAATTTGAAAGGAGAAAAGCCCTTGTTGCTTGGCTATGTTAACTGACTACAAAACAACAGAGTTCCTTTGTTTAGTGAAATTGTAGCCAACAACAACAAAAGAAAAAAAAAGACAGCATGCTTTACCAAGGAACAGGTGCTTTCAATTGCACGTACAATACAATCAGTTCAAAAGCACGAGTGAGTGACAAGACGACCCAACCCTTAGAAAACAAACACCCGTACACACAACACAGTAACATGAGAGGCCATAGCACACGGCAAACCAAAAAAACTTCATGATATCTGTAACGGTTTACGTGGTCAGAATTATTGGTTAGCTGCTATGGCCTCGTTAGCTGCTATGGTTTTCGCGAAACGTGGTCGGTGTGTCACGGATGCCTGTTGTGAAAACGTGCGATAAAATATCACCAAACACCAGCACGAAGTACTGGATTGGGCAGTATGACGTTTTCATTTCTGGAGAAGTTCATTTGTTTATTTGGTCTGTTCCTCACACCCTCTCCTTTTATAATATTTTTTTTTTTTGTCAAAAAAAATAAAGATTAGGCTAAATGGAATCACTAAAACATCTCAACACCCTACATGCATGGAAGACAGTGGAATATTTTTTTTCTTTCCCTTTAAAAATATTTCTAAATACCCAAACGAATACTCCAGCTGTCCGTCCAACCCCTTTCCCGAACACAAGGGCTTAGAGTTCTTGTCGAGTCTTTTATTTGGTGGCTGGTGCATCTTTGAGGGGGGCAAAGTGAACTCCTCGGTGAACTCTTCACGTTTCCCTCGTTTCACACCGTACTCTCCTGCGATCAGCTAGTCAGAGTGTTCAAATGTCCAGCGTACCTTTACACTGATGGATCTGGATCTCTCTCTCTCCATCCAACCAGCAGCTCAAAGTGTTATTGACAGGATTTGTGCTTAACACAACGTTGAACAATGCAGGACAGATTGTTTTGTGAGAAAGCCAGAAGCAGCGACTGGAAACCATATTAAAAAGCAGGCTGAATGGCGTTTTCATGGTTTAGTTGTCTTAGGTTGTTCTACGAAGAGCAGAAGGTGCAACAAACGTTGACAGCACTTTGGTACAAGCGAGGAGGGAGCTGTTGCGTAATCCCCATCATGACAGGTCGAAACAGGAAAGGTAACATGAAGCTGGGCGTAGACCGTCCACCCTTTGTGAAGACCTTTGAGGAGGACGTGTGTTTTTATTCATCCTCAGCAAATGTGACGTTAGGTGTCTTGCTCGAGGAGTGCGTGTGTTTCAGTCTGGTCCAGCGTGTGAACCCTGGCACACCAAGTGGAACGAGGACTATGGAAGACCTTTGACATCTGCTAGAGTGAAGGACGAAAGCTGTGAGCAGGAGATAACGGGCGAGACTGGATGATGAGATGCTCTGTGTGTGTGTGTTGCGTCAGCCTCATTAGCTGGAGATGTCAGAGTGGATGCTGCCAGGTGGTCCTGGTGGAGAAGTGATGGAGGAAGGGTTGGTGTTGTCTTGCCAGCTGTTGTTAGCCTGTGGAGAGAGTCACATGTATGAGGTCAAGTAGCACAGGCAATGAAACGCAAAGACTTTTTAATGCCAAGAAGAAAAAAAAAAAAGTGTTATTGACAGGATTTGTGCTTAAAACAACATTGAACAATGCAGGACAGATTGTTTTGTGAGAGAGTCAGAAGCAGTGACTGGAAACCATAGGGTTGCAACCAATTTGCAGCAAAACAATAAGGCTGTATGGAATATTGTATATAGATGAATGGAAACATTGTGTTTCAACAAAGTTTAGGGTCAGCAAGAATTTTTTTAAAGAAATGAATACCGTATTGACCCGAATATAAGACGATGTTTTTTTCTTGGAAATACATCTGAAAAAACACGGTCGTCTTATATTCAGGGTCTAGACTTTGACATGTCAATAATACACCCACAACAATAGGTGGCGCCAAATACGCATAAAATGAGTGTGCCATGAAATACGTAATGTAATGCGTGTTGTAAAGATCGCGAGTAAAAACAAAAGAGAAAGAAAACCTTACAGCTGCATGAGTCGTGACTGTCACGTTAGCCTGATGGGACCAAACTCCCTTTGTGATTTTAAAACGTAAGACAGTACCCAAATTTGAAGACTACAGTAAGATTTAACTTCTACTGTTAATAAGATTTTGGTAGGCTACTATTAGATGGATAGCCTAAATGTCCTAATTCAGATGGGCTACCTGTTTTTTTTTTTTTTTTTATGGTATATCAAAAAGTGTATATTTTTTAAATGTGATTGTCGGTATATTTTACCAGTTTTTACCATACTTTCAAAGCAAAAATTAAAATAGGAAAAATATGCAATATGAAAATAATTGAAGACAAAATGTGTTTTACTGAGAAAAAACAAGATTTGGTTTTTAAAAAGCCTTTTTCCAAAAGGTACATCTGGAAAAAGGGGGGTCGTCTTATAATCAGGGTCGTCTTATATTCAGGCCAATACGGTACTTAATGTATCAGGTTTCCACAAAAAAACTGTTTTTAACATTGACAATAATGAGAAATGTTTCTTGAGCAGCAAATCATCATATTAAAATGATTTCTGAAGGATCATGTGACTGAAGACTGGAGTAATAATGCTGAAAATTCAACTTTGCATCATAGATTTTGAACTTTTGAAAATCGATTTAAATAGAATATATTTTAAGTTATTTTAAATTGGTATAATATTTCATAATATTACTGTATTCGATCAAATAAATGCAGCCTTGGTGAGCATAACAGACTTCTTTCAATAACAGTAAAAAAAAAATCTTACCGACCACAATGTTTTCAGCACGGTAGTGTAATTATAATAATTAAAAGAATATATAAAACGGCATAATACTTCAAATTATTTAGGGATGCACCGATACTGGTATCGGTATCGGGCCCGATACTGAGCTCCTGTACTCGTTAAAATGCCCCGATACCAAACGCCGATACCACACAGCATGTGATAAGCGCCATATTCAGACAAAGAAACACCGACAACAGAACAACAGACAGCAGAATGGAGTTATTAGAGATTAAAGATGTCTACAAAGTATATGTATGCAATGAATATAAAACATTCAGTATTAATGCCTGTATAGCTGATTTGCGCCAGCTGTTAAGCAAATCACACTGAGTGGATTGAGCGCGCGGAGGCTTGTCGAGTGAATATCCCTTTCTCACAGACATCACTGGACAGTTTGTAGTTCTGTCAGATATGTCAAAAAGAAGTAAGTAAAACAATGCACACATTACTTAATGGTTGGTAGGGAGGAAGGGAGAACTTCTGTTGTGTGATCTTTATTGATGTTTCGCTCACTTAGCACGCATCATTTGGATTAAAACTGAATCGTAAATATAAGACAATTTATAGGGGCATTCACTATAAACGTCATTTATGTTCACCCTTAAGTAGGGCATTACATACCTTTCTATCAAAGTTATCTAACATTATCAAGCTGAATTTGTTCTGACACAGTTTAACTGAGTTCTTGTCATATTTTATTACCATTTTCTAAACTATAGCAAATAAACTGTGATAATGTGAGAAATGTTGAAGGTTTCTGAATAAATGTTGGTTTGACTGTATCTATTTGATAAATGAAGTTAACCAACTAACATTATACATACTCTTGGTTTCTGTACACAATATTTTAAAAATGTACAAATGCAATGAAAATATTGGTATCGGTACTCGGTATCGGCAAGTACCAAAAATAAAAGTATCGGTATCGGGTGAGTACTGGAAAAAGTGGTATCGGTGCATCCCTAAAATTATTTAAGAAACAATTGCAAAAAAGAATTTCTGTAAAAATTGATTTAATTCTTAGTGTTAGGGGTTTGTTCAAATAGTGTGTCCATACAGTAACAGCATTTAGCTGCAGCTGACTGATCATCTAGAGAGTATTCACACCAGAACATAAAACGTGTTGAAACAGGAAACATACAAGCCACAAATTGTAGACATCAGACCTTCAAATGATCTTTAGGTCTACGTCAACACGAAGAGCAACAGAGATTCTCATCAGATTAATGCTCTTTGTGAGATTTAACTGAAAATCATTCCAGGTTCTAACTTTTACACAAATAGCAAATGGTTTAATTTTTCTTTTAACAAGCAGTCTGTTGCTTGAGAATGTGTGTGTGTGTGTGTCAGTGCTGTACTCACGTTTAGATGGTGTGGGGTGTAAAGAGGACTTCCTGACAGATCTTCATAGTCTGCCGTCAGGTGTGTAGCATGGTGCAGGATATCCACCTATAGCACACATACATCACATAACAGCATAAACACCACTAATACATTACATTAATGACATTTTCCATATTTATGCTCACAAACGCAAACAAACTCATATTAAATAAATATCATTTTATATATGTCTCAGTTCAGAGTCAATGCACTGCCTATACCACATCATCCTCTTAATATGATGATGCCCTGTCTGTTTATAGTTCATAAAAGAAAATGAACATTCTGACATAATTGACGTTTATGTGTGAATAAAGGCCTAAATTGAATCGGTTTGGCATATTAAAGCGATTGTGTCTCTTCAGAAGACTTGATTGTTAAGGATTATGAGTGTCAAAGTTTTGTTGCACAGACTTTCAATGGAAGGACAAAAATGATAAGAGAGTATTAAACATATCTTCATCTGTGTTTTGAAGATGAACGAAAGTCTTTTGAGTTTGAAACATCATGAGGGTGAGTAAATGATGACAGTATTTTCATTTTTGGGCAAACTATCCCTTTTAGTCCAAACTGATTTGCACTGCACTATTTCAGTGCATCCCTCATGTAAAGTGATCCACTCTGCGCTCTTTAGTGGCTCAAACTGATATAGTAGCAAATTTCATGTTTCTTTTGATTTTAAAGCCAGACCATTAAATATATATATATATATATATATAGAATTAAGAGAAGAATGAGAACTAAGTGTTTAGATGTGAATAACATTACCACACATCAGATATGTATATCAATCAGAAACATTTGAAAGTTCTCAAAGGCAGACCAGAGACACGATGAGAAAAGGCGCTGATGGAGGATTGAATGCAGTGCTGTCAGATTACCTCATGTCTCATTCAACGGTGAGAACAGTACAAAGCATAAGCACATAATATTACAATAATAACACCTTCCATTCGCACTCGGCCTGCAATAGCGTAATGGAACGTGCTGGTGACGTATCATATCTGCACGAATGTTGACAGGCAGGTAGAACAACCTATCATAGCCCTCGGCCTGAAGGATATGATTGGTCAAACATTTTAAGGTTATATGGCTTCCACAGACGATATAAATACATCTAAATACATTTAGACCAATTAGTGATTGCTATCGGGATGTGAAGAGACTTCCAACCAGCATAACAAAAAATGTTTTTGAACCAAATCACCTACCCTGCCTTTAAAAACAAATAAAATAAATAATAAAAAATTCTCTTAACATAAATATTTATGACTTATAACACATAATAGACTTTTTCAAAAACATTACAAAACAAACTTTAACAGTAGTGCAATTAAGACATTTAATTCTAATATAAAATGTAAAAAATAAAAATGAATAATATTTAAAATAAATAAAAAAAAATTATTAATTAAAAAAATAACCTTAGGCAAGTACAAAAGTTGTATTTATAGTAAGAAAAAAAATTCACAGGACATTACACTTTGAAATTTGCGAGTCATAAAAACACATGTAGTAGTGGTGTGATGGGGCAGGTGACTGTTCAGAAACACTGACCCAAAACATCAGTAGTACATCCTTACTGTTGAGCCCTTGATGAAAAGCATTCATCTAACAGGAAGGAGACAAAGGAATGGCCAAGGACATGACAGAAGAAATGAAATGAAGCAATGCCACAGGGAAGATGGTGGAGTTCGTTTCCAGGATAGAGCTCTACACTTCTAAGTATCCGCTAAGGTGGATGTCACGGGTTGGGGCTGTAGCTTTGGGGAAAGGGGAAGAGAGCACTACACTGTGAGCAGGTATGGAAGAGGAAGGGCATTGAGGGGACGTCCTCAGTGCCTACCTGCTGCTGCTGCACAGCGGGAGTGACGCTGACGCCATCCCCGTCGAGTGAACGCAGCCCGAGGTAGGCGTCTCCTGCGTGAGAGAGGGTGTACGACCCAGATGACCCTGCAGCAATACACGCAGCCCATCAGGCACACAACCCTGCCCGGGTTGGGTTTTTAGAAAAGCCTACAGTGTGTGGTGAAAATCCGTCTGCTCTCTATGCGGAGCATGAATATCAGGACAAGCCACATTCCCAAATCCAAGACGGTCGTGATAATCTGTTTGACTACTTCCGCTGACTAGAGACGACAGAACAAAACAGGTGAACAATGGGAAGCAGCGATCACGTATGTGCTGATGCGGACTGTTGCGTTACATGAAGGTATACAACTCGACATCCTACTTCCTCTAGATGATGAGATGCATTGTTGGTACGCCGGCCACCGGATATGTAACAGGATATGTGGATGGGGTTTAAAAATATACGTGTTGACCGAGTATTGTTAAAAATGACAACACCAAGTTAAATCACCTACCTTATCCATTCTGCTTCCTGAGCAAATAGAGGTTCAACTACTCTAAACAAGTGTGTGTGGATGTGCATGTGCATATGAAAGTAAAATGAAAATGTTAAACAAAAAGCCAAAACAGCATCAAGAATTTAGGCAGAGATAATAAAAAAAAAGAAAAAGAAAAAAGAGGCAATCATCAACGGAAAGTTATTGGTTATTGCCATAGCCTTAGAGCAGTGATGGGCAAACTTGGCCCTTCCAGGTCACTTTCCTGCAGAGATTTGATCCAACCCTGATAAAACTCACCTGCATGTAGCCTTCTAGTAGTCTTGAACACAATGATTAGCTGGTTCAGGTGTGTTTGATTAGGGTTGGAGCTAAACTCTGAAGGAAAGTGGCCTGGAAGGGCCAAGTTTGCCCACCTCTGCCTTAGAGGAAACAGTCATGCAAAACCAAAAATGAAAGTAAATGTTCAGATGGCCAGAGATGAGAGTGGGCGGTATGATCAAAATCATAAGTGACTTCATATAACATGATGGAAATTCAACAGACAAATGTTTAATTTAACAACAATTTGGTCACATCCACATTTAGACAATCCAATTCTGATAAAATATTTTAATCCAGGGATTCCCAAAGTCAGCCAAATAATTACTTAAGTATCCCTTGAGATTTTAAGCTAATATTTTAATAATTTAACAACATATTTGCATGTTCACGGTTAATGGTCACATGACATGTAGGAAAATGAATAGATTTCAACTTTTCAGTAATTGTTTTTGTATGGATAATAACAATAGTTTATCATTTATTTACCTTAATCTTTATTGATTTATTAAAAATAGTTATTTTTTTTATGATTTAAGTCATTTTTAGCTTTTCATGAACTTACAAAACCCCTGCAGTTCCCTCACAAACCCCGGTTTGGGAAACCCTGCTTTAATCAAATGAGATGAATTAGTTTTCATTTACATTTTTTCCTCTGTAACATGATGGATGTGAAACAAAAAATACAATTATCCATAACAAATAAACAAGTCTGGCATAAGTTCAAAAACACTGACTGAGCCTGAAACCTGTGATCGCACATCAGCTTCCTATCTATACAATGTCATATTAATGTGATGTTATGTAACCATAAAACTAAACTCTGCGTCATGTTGTGCCTAACAATACCCATTCATAAACACTTTTCTACGAATGTGTGATGTATGGCGTCATACCACCCAGGTCCATAGAAAAACGACACTATGACGGCTTTATCCTGAAGATGTTTACAAAACAGCTGTTACCTAGATACAATCAGATCAGCTTTACAGCGCAACCCAGATCGACAACATCTAAATCTCACTCAGCAAGTGCATGATGCAAATACAAACAAACAAGCATTCTCTATGACAGGGAAAAAAAGATGGACAGACAAGAACAGACTTGAGAACAGAACTGAAATGGAAAGAAAATAGCATGAAGCGCATGTAGACAGGAGTGTGATTGTGGCAAGTGGTGTGCGTAGTGTAGCTTCACTATCTGCTAGAGATGATGGGAGGGCTGTTGTGCACTTTACCTGAGTTGGGTGTTGCTGGAGAGTTTGCCTGGCTGGCCTGTGCCGACACATTGGCAGCATCCACGGCTGTTTTAACGGCGTACAGGTTTGCTTCCTCTTGGAACTTACCAATGTTCTTCTTGTACCGAATTCTCTTGTTGCCAAACCAATTCGAGACCTGAGGTGAAACAACTAATCAGACAACAATTTCATCACAGTGAACTACAACTAAAAGACATTACTGTACATTTCAAATAATTACCATTTTCATTTAAAGGATTCTAACACGGATTCTCATTCTGTGCTCATCCAGCCGATGTCACTGCTTTCTGCTGAACTAAACTTACACAACTGCACAGTTTACACTGCTGTTCAAAAAATTTGGGGTCAGAATTTTTTTTCTGGCAAGAAATTAATACTTTTGTTCTGCAAGTATGCATTAAATTGATTGTGACAGTAAAGACGTTTACATTGTTACAAAAGATTTCCATTTTAATTAAATGCTGTTCTTTTACATTTTTTGTTCATCAAAAGAATCCTGGGAAAATGTATCACCGTTTCCACAAAAATATTAAGCAGTGTTTCTAACACTTATAATAAATCCACATACTAGAATGATTTCTGAAGGATCTTGAGACGTTGAAGACTGGAGTAATGATGCTGAAAATTCAGCTTTGCATCACAAGAATAAATTACATTTCAAAATATATTCAAATTGTACCAATATTTCACAGTATCACTGTTTAAATAATTGCAGCCTTGGTATGAATAAGAGAACTAATTCTTTAAAAAAAATCTTACCGACCCCAAACTTTTCAAAGGTAGTGTGGTATACTGCCATCATTTATTTATAGAAATTATTTTTAAATGAATATTTCTGCAATGCACTCAATTAGAAGGTTCCCTCTAACGGTGCTTCCTGCATCTTGTTTTCATCACAGCTGAATCAAAACATACACTGGAAACAAGAGTAGCCCATCTGCCATTAGGAAATGTTGAATAAGACTTCCTTCTTGTGAAATCATTTTTGTGTGATATAAAAAAATTAAATAAATAAAATAATAATAATAATTTATCAACAAATTGTTCAAAATGTCATCTCATTCCATTATGTAGGTAGCCATCTAGATATCTAATGTCAACTGTACATTATAGCTGTAGCTTCTCTGATCACACAAATTTTAGCTAACATTAGCTGCAAATGTTTCCTAATTGTTTCTTCTATTGTTAGTCAAAGAATTTCTGCACTAAAAGAATTTCTGTGGACTGATCAAACAGAAATGTGCAGAAGTTGCTAACTGTAACTTTTGAAGCTGCTGCTATTTTGGCTGTTTTGACCACAAGTTAAGTGGGAGGAAATGGAGCGGTCATAAACTGTTTCCAACTTGTTATTAGGAGTTCAACAAACATGAACAGTTTTTACAAGTGGAAACTTGTAATTACGGGAAGTCTGACATGATGTGAACGCAGCACAAGTTCACAGCTCAGCTCTGCAGTTGTAGTTAAAGCGATAGTTCACCCCAAAATTGAAAATACTGTTAAAGTCATGTCATTTAAAACCTGAAAGACTTTTCCAAAACACAAATAAATATATATCGATTAATAATTACGCTGGTATGTTTTATCTTCTGTTTACCATATTTGATGTGCTCTATGTATGTGCAATGATCAATGTTTATGCGTGAATAAAAGCCTAAATTAAATTTGTTCATCATATTAAGTTACCAGAAAACTTGGATTAACCCACTCGATTCTTATGAATTACTTTGTAATGTACTTGTCTTTATGAACTTTTTGAAGCATCAAGGTTTTGGTGTAAAGGACTTTCAATGGAGGGACAGAAATCACTCAAGTTTCATTAATAATCTCTTCATTTGTGTTTCGAAGATGAACCAAACTCTTACGGGTTTGGAACAACATGAGGGCGAATAAATGACGACAGACTTTTCATAATTGTATGTGCAAAAAGTGCTTATCTTTGCGAAATGTGTGATGTCAGTAATTCCCATCACTAACTACTTAGGAGAATGGAAATAATGCTTAAGCAGAGACTGATCTGTATCTACTTGTGATTTCTTTTGTTGTTTCATGACACCGAGGCGCTAACAGCAGAATTATGGACATGATGCAACGTTATTGACAGGACATATCTCAACAAACTAATTACTGATGCTTAAATGATCCTGTAATTTCTATATTTTATGAAAAACTTGCTTGACAAAGCTGCATAAATTTCATTAAAATAAAAATGGGGCCGGATTTATTTTCTAGGACATTTTTCCTCACACGCCATTATTGGAAAACTGGATTCCAGGTTTTTCAATACACATGGGACATTTGTAGGCCATGTGCGACTATACCTGAGAGACAGTGATCCCACATTTCTTGGCCAACTCTTCCTTGGCTTCCTCACTGGGGTAAGGGTTGGAGAGGTGAGAGTAGAAGTACTCATTCAGCACCTCTGTGGCTTGCTTATTGAAGTTGCGTCTCTTACGTCTGAGGACAAAGTAAGTGGAAAAATGAGTGTTTCATTGATAATAATTAGTGGAATAGTGCAGCACAACAGAATAAGACACCTACATTTGAAACAGCCACAGATCAAACAAGCAGACACACACCTGGCATCAAGGAAGCGAGAGCGAAGGATCATGACGGCCTCACAGGTGCTCTGCTTGAGCTGCATCTGGATGGAGCTGAACTTGCGGTGGATGATGGCCACCATGCGCTCGATCTCTTTGGGCGAGATAGGCCGTGTGCGGGACTGTTCCCTCAGTAAGTTCATCACGTGATTGGTGAACTCACTGCAAGCCTGTTTTCAAATAGATTTGAGGATCATTACATACATGCAAATATACATTACCATTAAAAGTTTTTGAAAGAAGCCTCTAATGCTTCTTTGCTGAATAAAAGTATTAATTTCTTAACTTAATTTCTTGGACAAAAAACAAGCCAAACTTAATGGCAAATATGTATATGAAACAAAACCTACAATTTCTGAAAGACATCATTATTACTTCCCTCTCATTATCACTCCACCAGTGGATGAAATCAGTAAATTTGATTTGAAAAAAGAAAAAAGAAACAATTACATACACAAACCCACAAGAATCTGCTGAAATTACTTAAAAGGTCAGACGGGGGTCTGATTCTCACCTGTTCATATTTCTCTAGTTCGGAGTGGTAGATCTGGCGGATCTGTGCGAGTTTGGCTCTATAGTCTGAGTGCTCGATGCTGCTGTCGTTAGGTGATCCTCCAGCCGCTGCTGCAGCTGCGGCCGCCGCCGCTGATCCGCCGCCCTTCTCGGGCCCAGACACTCCCTCGGCCAGCAGCATGTTATCCAGACGCATGATCTGGGGATCTGGAGGGTCCTCCTCCTGTACACCTCTGATGCTCAGCACTGCAGAAGAGAAGACGACAGCACAACAGGGTCAATCAGATGGAGAGCTTTCAGAAACCAGCCACATCACACCATGTAGAATTAAGGGTACTTCTTTCCCTATACCATAGAAACTACTAAATTAAGTGTGCAATTCCTGGCTGAGGCAGCAGAGGGCAGCATGGTACCTCAGTGGCATGCCTGAGCACGAGGCACGGGTCCAATAATAGCAGAGCATGTGCTGTCACTATAAGCACAAGCAGCCATAAGTACACACCTCTCCGGCACTGAGTTAAAGCAAGATTCTGTCAACTTCCTGCTACGAGGCCATCGCTCACACCTATACGAGCACCTCGTCTACACTCCCATACATATGCACACACACTCCCGGCCAGTGACTGAGGGCAAAGTGTAAGATAGATAATACAAATGCATGACACCGAGGGTCTTTGTCTTTCCTCTAGACCACATTTTTGATGAACCCCCTAGTGGTGTGCGAGAATGCGGTGGAAATGCCAGTGGCACGTGAAATAACATGTAAAGGTGTTGCTTTTAAGTAAATGTAGAACAGGATCATTTAAATGTAATAAAAATAACAAAACGGAGGAAGCAAAGATACTCAATGTTCTTTCTGAAAGGTTAAATGGATGGTTCACCTAAAAATGTAAACTCTGTCATCATTTACTCACACTCGTGTCATTCCAAACCTGAAAGACCTTCTTTTTGCAGAAGATATTTAGCAGAATGTCTAAGCTTTTATTTCCATGTTGCAAAAGTGGATGTGAATCAGGAACGGCTGTGAACACCATTCACTTTCATTGTATGGGAAAAAAAGAAGCTTGGACATTCTGCTAAATGTTTGCTTTTGAACTTCATGCACGAAGGAAAAGTCACAGGCATTTGGAACAACTTGAGAGAGAAAAAAATTATGATTTTAATCAAACTATAAACCTTACTCAAGGGAATAATATCTCAAGGTACACTTTTAGAACACTAAAAAAAAGTTCCACAGACAATGTTTTGAATGCTTTGAGTAGATCTGAACAGTCCTGCGTAAGCACAGTGCTCGGAGACTCCAATAGTGCATTGGGTTTATCTTGTTTGTGAATTGAAAGAAAGAGAAACTTTCAAACACAAATAGTGCAACTAAAAGACCATGTGTTGGAAGCAATCAGCATTATGTGGATGTTCTGTCTGTACCATCCCCACTGAAATCAAAGCTGTTTTCCCATCCTCCCTTTAACTGATAACACATTTAATGACTTCAGCTCATACCCTCCCCCAATAACAGCACAGAATTTGTTTCGCTCTTTTCCCCCTTCCCTCTCTTTTTCAGCCAGCAAAACTCCCCAAAGTCAAAGAAAAAGCAAGAAGAGTTTCTCAAGTACATTAATTCTGATTCAAAGTGATTTCTGCAATAAGATTATTTTTGTGGATAAACCCATATGAGCATACTCTTGTTTTATATGCGCTATGAAGGCACACTATTTAGTCATTTCACAGGAACAATAAAGAATAATACTGTTGAGTAAGATTTCATGCATTCATTTCAGTCGATGGTTAGGCTTTAAAACAAAAGACAGAAAAACTACGTGAAAACCAGTGTTTACAAATGTGATTTTCATTTTATCCCCTACTTTTTTGATTTTTTTATTTTTAAGAACTTTAAATCTTCATTCTGGCAGTAAATGGCAATAATTACTAAAATTAATATAAAAAACAAGAGAGAAAAACAAATCTGCTTAGAAACATTTATTTTGCATTTCTATTAAAAACGTTGAACTCGTCATTCATTTACAATAATGATTTTAATAATAAAAGAGAGAAAAACAAATAAACAATTTTTAAAATTAATTCTGGGGGTAAATTCAATAATTATTTATTGTTATCATTATAAAACAGAGAGAAAACAAATGTTTTTTCTCTTTTTGTTCATTTTTAATAAAACTAATGAACTCTGTGTCATTCATTCTAGTGGTAAATTACAATGAATATTTAAATTATTACTATTATTGTTATTATAAAACAAAAGATAGAAACCTGCTTTTTAAAAGCTCATTCTATTGGTAAATTTCAATAATTATTTAATTTATTATAAAACAAAAGACAAAAATTAATTCAAACAGTATATTAAAATCTGTTTTACAAATATTAAAAAAATGTACAAATGTTTTATTTCTATTAAAACCTTTAAACAGGTCTCATTCATTCTAGTGTTAAATTAATTTAAATTATTAATTAATAATTATTTAAATTTCTGTAAAGCATTCTCAGCATTACCACAAGGGGTGCTATAGTGCTCTGTCTCTCAGTTTTCCCTTCCTTTTCATATCAACTATCTTCAAGGCAGAGCAACAGTTTAACAATTGCCGAGAAAGTTCGTTAGACTCTTGACATGTTTGCAGCTAGCTAACTGAATGTCACACATTTTAATTGTACATTTCATCTGACATCCTTAGTGTCACAGTTACAAAAGAACATATGCACTTGTGTAAAGCATGTGTCTGGCCTAAACTGAAAACGCACCTCTGTTTTCCTGAATTGTGACCCAGACTCACCGTGCATGTGTGTAGTCTGATGGGTGAGGGGAGGGTTGTTGGTTTTTACGACCACATCCCCACAATCAATAGAGTGAAATTTACCACCTCCCCAAAGAGTATCACCCACAATATCCATTAAGAGCTCTGCCTCCAACCCAATCCCTCAAGCATACACCCGTTTCTTTAGTCTAATTATCTCAATTAAGCTGTGATGACTGATAATTACACAAATAACCCACAACATTCGACACTAGATGATATGGACCCATTTAAATTTCTAACACCCCTTTATATTTCAATTTATGAGCCTTGATTTTGAAAACCCTAATAATGTAGCCATGAATAAAGTGGCAATACTGCTACGGCTGGGTACGTTTTATAATAGCTTTGTGGTAAACGCTTACAGCTACATTCTGAAACCCGAACATATTGGCCAGAAAAGCCACTGCATCTCAATGTTTGTATGTCTTTAAGAAGATTAATAAAGCCAGCCTGTTAAATCTTTCAATTAGCACACTTCATTAATACAAACACACCGCCATGCTAATGAGATAATGTACATTTTAATGCGGTGCATCTGTCCAAGTTGCACTAATATCCTTCCATTAAATTTATGAATGATCGACGCGAACGCACACCCTCCTCACGGCGAGGTATTCCCTCATTTGTGAAGGATTGGTGAAAACGTGCAGATGGGAAATGCGAAGGGCCGAGTGGAAAAAGCCAGCAGCTGTCCAGCCATTAGCAGACAGAGCGGTATGAAATATTCAGAGCGCCCGGCTGGGTTCGACCGCATACATAATCAGGCACAAGAACGTGGCGCAGGTACGGCACAGGTGATGTGTTAAGCGCAGACAAAGATATTGTGTTCACTGCTGGAAGCAGTACATTAATGCTGCCATTTTCTGTGCATTACTGGAGAAGCAGTCCATCACGGCTGTGTTCGAGGCTCAGGCCTCGTCTGTCTTTTTCGCTGCACCTCTCTCTGGTTCGTTCACCCTCCCTCCTCCTTTGGCTTGGGCCGCTCTCCCGTCATACCCCGCCTCCTTTTCTCTCTGTGCCCCCAGCCACCTCCCCCCATCCTCTGCTCTCCATTTCAGTCGAGTTCTCCATGTGAGCCACAATCCCTCATGCTGTCAGCCCCCCCTCTACCTCTCTCTGTAGACAGACAGGATTAGCATTTTAATTGCATCAGCTCCCTTGGGTATTCTCAGCCTTTCACTGGGAGAGCGCGAGGGAGCAGAAGGGGGAAGAGAAGGTAAGGAGAGAAAAGAGGAGAATTGTGAGGGGAAAGCAGCAAAAGGGAGTCAAAGGAGGAGATAAAACTGCGAGGAGGAGAGCAGACAGAACGAGCAAGAGATGGAAAAATAGAGGGGGCAGGGAGAGCGTGAACGAGAGAACGCGAAAGGAAGAGTTGAAGATGATCGCGGTGGGCTGCAAACGAGTGTGGGGCGACACTTAGGAAATGACAACGCTCTGACCGCAACAGCCAATAAATCAAAAGGAGGGAGGCGAACGCGACAGGGGAGGGATCTGTGCGCACTGAAAAGCACGCCCATATGGACGCAAACAAACAGGCTAACCTGAGAGCTAAGTGGGATTTAAATAAGGGGAATTTATCTTCAAAACAAAAACGACTGCAGTGCTATTACAGTCGAAGTGAAATACGAGGGTCATTCCTACTTTACGCAGTACATTTTCATGTCCCCATCACACACACCCTTCATATACTGTGTAAACACTAAATTGTGTTTCTTCATTTTATTCTTTCTCTTATAAAAATACTATATGGTTTTGGGGAACGTTGTTTTAATTGATGTCAGTTATTTACACTACCGGTTTTGAAAGAGAAGAAATTAACAGTTTTATTCAGTAAAGATTGCCACATTAAAATGATCAAAAGTGACAGTTAAACGCATTTATGATGCTACAAAATATTTCTGTTTCAACTAAATGCTGTTCTTTTGAACTTTCTATTTATCAAATATATTTCCACAAAATATTAAGCAGCACAATGGTTTTCAACAGTCCTAATAATAAGGACTGTTTCTTGAGCATTAACTCAGCATATTAGAATGATTTCTGAAGGATCATGTGACACTGAAGACTGGAGTAATGATGCTGAAAATTCAGCTTTGCATCACAGGAATAAACTAGATTTTAAAACATTAAAATAGAAAACAGTTATTTTAAAGCATAATAATATTTCGTAATATTACCGTTTTACTGTATTTTTGATATATCAAATAAATGTGGCCTTGGTGAACATTTGAGACTTCTTTCAAAATGATTACTGACAGCAAACTGACCTTAAACCGCAAACATTTATTCTGCATCCTCAATATCATTTTTCTATTAACTTTTGTAATATCACTTGAACTGACAAAAGCCATCATGACAGCATCCTCCAGGAAGTGACACAGTTTTATTGGCACAAACATCAGCAAGTATAGACAATGACTTCTGTGGGGTTTTGTGGTA